TTATTGTTTCTTTTTTTGATGTAACGCATTCGAATGAGCATTATGCTTCATTATTATGCAAATATATGATACGAGGATTTATCACTGATTATTGCTTGCCCTGGTGGCAGCAAAAGTCATTTCATTCAGAAAAATTCATCATTTGGTTATCCCATCATTTAAGTTTCATTATTATTCTTGTTATTATTATTTATTATTATTACTGATATATTTACTGTAATTATTTTTATTGTTTTGCATTATTACTAGGTGAACGTCTTCATTTGTTCTGATCCACTCATTCATATACCCTATAATGCTGAATATATTCCGGAGTATGACGGTTGGTGGAGGAGTATATTCAGTGGGTTATATGTGTACAAATATATGACTGCGAAATGTGGTAGTTTTATGAATGGTTTGTTTGTACGGAATGGCTGTGTTTTGATGGTGCATGATGATATTGGATTAATAGTTACTTGTTGTTACTCTGATTTGGTGAGTGAACGAATGGTCACTTCTCAAGAATTTATGAACAAACGGAGAACTTTCTTTGCGATGAAGGCATTTCTTTATTTCTATTTCGCTTGCAAGATTTTGAGCAATTGAATTCTGAGGAAAAACACTCTGAAATCTCACAGTTGAGCCCAGCTGCATGATATTCTTATCGTTGGAGCATTTATGACAATCTCACAAATATTTCATTCGTTTGAATTGAGTCGCTTTTATAATTGATCATTTGTTAATGCGTAAATCAAGTCAAGTCTTCTCGATCTTATTCGTTGCATATTCATTCATGCTTCGTTTCTTTGCAGATTTTCAATTCGTCGTTGTTTTATTGTTCCTTTTGATGTGCTCGTTTTCGTTATGGGTTTTAAAATAAGTTATCATAACGGCTATATGAGGAGTGCTATTGTTCAGTCATGTTACTGTAACATTGTTTTTGCATTATTATTCTTAGTATTATTATTGTCATTATTATTATCATTATTATTATTATTGCAGTTATTATCCCCGCTGTGATTTTCATCATTATCATTTTTTCGTTATCGTTATTTGAAATACGATAGAATTGATTCGATCATCGATCAGTTTGAAGATTATTTCAAGTGTCATCGTTTTCATTCAATTCATAGCCAAAAGTTCACCTTCATCGAATATCTGTCTGCTTTTCCGTTCGAATCGTTTTATTAATTGCACTTTTTTGTTGATCATTTTCGTTTGTGGTTGAGAAGAGAAGATTTGTGTGTGAAGCGATATGGATGAACGATTGCGATTGCGTTTAAATGTGTATACAAATGATAATTTATTCGAAGTTGTATCATAGTGGTTGCATAATGCGATTGAATCGAAGATTGTGATTGGGTTTGTTTGCACTGAAAATTGTTAAGTTGAGTGCTTTAAAGCGTTATTTTCGAGTGATGTAGTATTGTTCATATTGATCGTCTTCTTGAGAGCATCTGTGGACAGTCGTTGGTTGGCTCGCCGAAAGGCCTGATATTCATGGTTTCCGATAATTCTGTTACTAAACCTTGCTTAGTTCGTTCGTTTCGGTGTTAACCGTCACTTTTATCAGTGTTCGATTGTTACTGTTATTGCAGATGTCATTGCTGATTTTACTGTTTTATCAGATAGTGAATGTTAATGTTACTGTCATTATCATTATTTATTATTATTATTATTACTGTTATTATTATCATTATTGTTGCTTGTATTGTGATCATAACCGTTTCTAGAAATGTTTTTTTCTTCAAACAAGTACATATATACATATGCGCTTATAATTTGTTTCGTTATTGTGTTTTGCTCGTCATTCATAATTTCATTTGTAATTTATTTTTCTTGTTCATTTAACTTCAGATTGTTTATAACAAATTTTGAAATAAATAATCATTCTGAACTACTTCATTCAATTTCTTCTCAGATCAATTCCAGTGTGTGTTGATGATCGTTACCGAACGACTGAATCCATTCAGATTCGTATAAAAAGAAACTAATCATTATATTATGCTTACTTCTGAAAAAATTCATGAATCGTCGTCTCTACTTACTTTTTGAACATCGATGGCATTTGCAAAACCGTAAAGATATTTTCACCTATTTAAAATATCTGATAACAATTGTAATATTTTCCAACATAAATGTGCGATTCGATGTGTTATTCTAACGTTTTGACGTCTTGCAACACTCATTATTAACTTATGAATACTATGAATCTTGATTAGCGTCACTGCAAGTTATTAATCGAATAACTTATGTCACAATAAGATTGTGACATAAGTTATTCGATGCTTCTGCAACAACACTCATGTCACAATAATATCTGCATTGGTCATATTATTGATCAACAATCACCCTGTTTAGTTTGAATCAGTTAGCCTCATGAAAGGGATTCGGTTGGAATTTTAAAAATATCACAGATTGAAGTGCGACTGAAAAATGATTTAATGAGCGATGATAACCAGATTGTCCATATTTTTGTCAGTGAATTGATATCAAATTTACACTGATATAATCATTAGTTTGCAAATAAAATTCGATTCATCATGCGATTTTAGTGAGGAATATCGTATTGCAATGGTCCGTCCCCGCGCTCGGGTGCTCCACTACCCCTTCAATGGTCTGGCTGGCCGTCATCGCCCCCCCCCCCTCCCGCTACAATAATTCACGATTTCTGCGCATAATGTCAGGACTGATTTCCCGATTCCATCCATTACCCACTGACCCTCCAAATTACTAGAAAATGGATAATTTCACCTCTATGAGATCCGCTACCCTATTGGTTTATTGATGTTCCGTGCGATTAGACGTCTTTGATAGTGTGATGGATTTTGAACATTCGCTAGCGAATCAACTGAACTGATTAACAGTGATTACGCTTGAAAGAGCTATTAAGATTTGATGTGTATGATTGAAAGATGATTGCAAGAAGTATTTGCTCATTGAATTCAAGGTAGACAGGAAGCGCAATGCGGCAAAAAGTGATCTCATTGAACGCAGTATCAAATTTGTTGCTGCAATGCAACTCAAACTACTCGAAAAGTACCGCAACGGCCACAAAAACAGCTCTGGCCGTTCGAAGACATTTAAAACCGCCTTATTATAGACGAACCATACCCGCATATCCAGCAACTCATAAACTGAAGGAGGAATTCCCGGTTAGTTTTCATCACTTTGAACGGAGCATTCATTCCGTAAAAATATCTGAATCAAATGGTTTTCATCGAGCGTATTCTTCTTCATGCTATAAACTTTCTTATTTGATGTTGTATCACATCTGTTTATGGGAGTATTTATGATTGT